ACACACACACACACACACACACACACACACACACACACAGTCATGGCTTACAGGTGCCAGGCTTGTGAGCATTCCTTCATCTTATGACCCTTCCAAATGCTTCTTGCTGCATATTTCTCATAAAGAGTTTACATCAGGATAAGCACAGAAGAGTGGGAAGGTATGAGCAGAGGATGCAGGTGGGGAGCAGAGGATGCAGCTGGGGAGCAGAACGAGGAGGCTGGAGGTGGAATGCAGTATCTGGAATCCGGAACCCAGAATATCACATTCTTAACATTGATAGGCTGGTGAGGAGGAGGTGAGGGCCTGGCCCGGAGGGATAAATTAAAGGAAGGTTAACTTTGAAATGAAGTTGAGCTAGAAGCAGCATTTCATTTGTATGTGGTGCTAATCTCAGAAAAGCTCGTGAATCATGGTCTCCACCCAAGGACAGTCGTTTGTCCACTGAAGAGATGCTGGTTTCTGTGATGTAGTGGAAATAAGCCCTGAACTCCCATTAGCTGAGATTGATGAGATCTCTTAACTTCTTTGAGACTGTTTCTTCAAACTGTAAAATCAGATTTTCATGATACAACTGCATTGTCATGAGATTAAAAGAAGCAGGGGGTTTGAGAAGTACTTCAGAAAGTGTTTGTGGTATGCCTATCACTCATCTGGTAGTCTCTTACTTTGACTGGACAGTGGGAGAACATCAAGGGACTTGTCTTCAGAAGAACCCAAGGCTTGGGCTGGGTACCCAGGGGTGGGGGTAACAATCACAGAAATCCTGCTTTCCTCTGTCCCATTCCAGGGGCCAAGTGGAGGACAGTGCTCCTTTCTCCCACCTGAAGAGGTCCCTAAGTAGGAGTTCTGCCTTTAGCAAAAAGAAATAGAGACTGTCCAGTTAAATGTATGCTTAATATAAACATTTTCAGTTTATCTCACACAATATTGAAGACATCCTCTAGAATACTCTATCATGAAATTGGATTTTGTGGTTTACATTTTGTGTAGCAAGCCTACCACAAGGATCAAGTTCTACCACTGTGGCCATTACTAATATCCATGAGCAGCCACATCTGGATGAGTGGTCAGGAGGGAGGAGCAACACCCTCAACGTGCCTCTTGTCATCATCTGCTGCCTGTGTTCCAGGGAAGGGCTCAGGACGCATGCAAATGGCCTCTATGGATCAGGGAACACATGAACCTGAGATTAGGGCACAGAGAGGAATGGATGGATCCTGCACCAAGGCTTTCTCTCCCTCTCTGACATATAAGAATCAAAGTTCTTTGAGTCACTCAGATTTGAGTTCAAATCACTTCTTGGCCACCTGATACCCAAATAATGTTTCTCAGCCTCATCTGCAAAATGGTGACAATGACATTTGTCTAGAGGAAGTATGAACATGAAATGAAATAATAATGGTCTCATGACTAGGCAAGAAGATGCTTCACAAATGGCAACATTTAGCAGGAAAAGTGTTCCTATTTTTGTCACAATTGCCCAAAGACCTGTTTCATACCCTACTTCCTCATCAACCTTTATTATACTGGTTCAGTATGCAAGCAACTTCTCACATTTGTTATGTTTTTAATTCCTGTGGGCTGTAGAAATGGCTCAGTAGGTAAGAGTACAGAGTCGACTTCAAGAGGACCCAGGTTCTGTTCCCAGCACCCACGTAGTGGCGCACAACTCTCTATGACTCCAGTCCTAGGGGATCCACTGCCATGGTAGTCATTAACACACATGGTACACAGACATATATGCAGGTGAAACACTCATACATGTGAAAATAGGTATATTTTTAATAAATCTTGAATCCTTCAGTTCAAGTCAGCACCTTTAGTGGGTTAAGTCAGGTCGGCTATAGGGTCCAAGAGTGTTGGAAAACATCAGGTGGGTGGTTTTTTATCAAAACAGGCCAGTAAAGCAAGTCCTTGTAGGAAGTGCAGGTGAGAGAAGTGGGTGAGGAATTGTCTGGGAGGTGATTATCAGGGCCACACCAAGGGCCTGGGGCAGGTTGGGGGCCCTTATAAGGGTTCCCAGAGTGGCTGCATATGGATCTGCTCTCAACCTCCTCAACTGGGGTCCAGCTCACAGCCTCTGGTAAGTAGTAATGCCTCTGCATCCTGGGTTCTTTCCTTCTTGATCTGCCTAGAGCCGCTAGGCCAAGCTTCTCGCCTGTTCTTGAGTAACTAGAGAGGTGACTTAGCCTCATGACAATTAAGGAAACATCACAGTAATTATCACCTAGGAAACTCTATCTTGATTCTGCGGCATTGATAGGTAGGGCTTATTTCTTGATTTGAGGCTCGACCACTCAGCAGGAGTGATTTTCTCATTGGAGTAGGTGCATGTAGAGCTGTGGCCTTTCATAGTGACTCTGGGTCTTCTCTAAAGCATGTTCATGCTCTCATCTGTCAGTTGGCCCCTGCCAGCAAGCACAAAGCTTTGCTCTTAGATTTACAGAAACTGGTGTATTGAATACTGTGTTTCATACTATGATACCCCATAACTTCCTCTTCTTATCCCACTGCTCTCCTTTCCCGCACCTATACCTCCCATACATAATGTATAAGATGAGGAATGCTGCCTGCAAAGAAAACCAGAAGCGGAAAGTCCCAGAGAACTGCCAGACACATATCATTCATTAAGGGCACAGAAGTATGTCTGGCCAGTCAGTGGCAGATTTGCATCTAGAGCTCATCCCTGAGCTCTGGGCTGGTGTGTTTTTTAAACCAAGCTCCTTCCTGATAAAACATGCGTTGAGCCATAGTGTTCCCCTGTTATCCATGAAAGGCTGATACCTCTATCCTACATCCATATCCTATGATTCCCCTTAGTATATTAAGATTGAGTGGAGACAAGAACCCAGACTTCCCCGTTACTGGTTCACCCATTCTCCAGACTCATTGTTCACATGCCGTGACACTGTTTCCTGGAAATAGATGCTGTTCTTGTCCTCTTCCTCACACATCTGCATCACCTGACTTAGCCAGCTGGCATTGCCCAGACCCACATCTTGAATTCATAAAATGTCTGAGTTGCATTTTAATCTTCTTCTCAATACTCCACCTTATTCTTGATTAGACCTATAAATCAACCAGAGTCCATGAGAAGATGAAGGAAGACAGGAACTTAGAATAAATAGCACAGAAGGAAGTGAGAGGGGGCTATCACAGCAGAAGTGGGTGAGTAGTTCATTAGCTGAGGCTGTTAATCATCTTTGACTATGGTGTAAAATACCCCTTGAGGAGACAGATGGGAAGATACATGTGGGACTGTTCTCATGGTGTCTTCATAGGTCTCCTCCAGACTCACCCATTCCTGGAGCATGTCTTCCCATCAGCATCAGCAACAGTGTGCACCACAAGCCCAGCAGCAGCAGCAGGTGAAGCAGCCCTGTCAGCCACCTCCTACTAAATGTCAAGAGGCATGTGTGCCCAAAACCAAGGATCCATGTGCTCCTCAGGCTAAGAAACAATGTCCACCGAAGAGCACAGACCCGGCTCAGCAGAAGTGTCCTTCTGCCCAGAAAGATCCTAAGTGTAAACAGAAGTAAAGATGGACTGGCAAACAGCGCCTGCCCAGCACCCTGGCTACTAGATGGAGCCTTGTCTTACTCCTCCTCCTTTTTCCACTGGCTCCAAGACTTTCCCACTTTCTACCTACATCCAATGAAGCAGCACTGCAAGACCCCTCATCAAATTCCTCATTACTTGCACCATTTTTTTTTCTCCAAGGCTTCTTTTATCTCCAGGATATAAGAGAAGTGTGATGAGAGAAAATTCAACCTCTCCAGCCTTTTTATTGACCATAATTATGGCCTTATCCATTCTCTATCACACAACAGTGGAGTACCAGGCTTCTTCTAGGGCTTTACCCAGAGCTGATGCCTCATTCTGTTTCCCTAGACCGTTCTCTACACCTGTTGCCTATTTACCCCACTAATAAACACATGCTTCATGTAATAATTGTGTCTGTGTCCTGGCCTGCCAGTCCTTTCACATTATCCATTCACCATCACATTTCAGGAGGTGAGTGTGCAAGCACATGTCACTTGGGATTTAGGAAGCCACTGTTATGAGCACAATTAATTTCTGATAGCTAAAGATGGAGGGAGGATAGATCCTGACACATCTGAGCTGAAAGAGTGAGGAAAATAAACCCAAGGACTGGCCTCTTCGACTTTTTAGAGACTTCCTTAACTAACCCTACCTAGGGAAGACCGAAGGGGAATGAAAACCTTTAGCTCTCATTAGAAATTTGACACATCTGGCAAATGTAAGTTTTAGTGCTTGGAAGTTGTCATTCTGTAAGGGCAGACACGGGTGACTGGCATGCAACAAAGCATAGCACAAACAGGTGCAAATGACTTTTGTATGGATTTGTGTATGTGAGTGTGTATTGTGAGACTGTGTGTCAGTATGTGTGAGAGTGTATGAGTGTGTGTGTCAGTGTGAGTGAGTGTGTGTGTGTGTGTGTGTGTGTGTGTGTGTGTGTGTGTTGTATTTTTTCCTGGGCTGGCCTTGTGAAGAGAATTTGCAAAGTGCTTGGCTTGATGAGTTTATTTGAGTTCATATAGCTTATAAAAGAGGTCCCACTTTTACAGCCGATGTCCTAACTTCTTTGTTTGATGTAGACTGCCTGTATTAAAAAGAAACTGAATAACCCCACCTAGAAAAAGCACAGTCCTGGAAGAACAGAACATGAAAAAGACTGATGTGGGGGCTAGAGAGATGGTTCGGTGATCAAGAGTATTCACTGCTCTTCCAGAGGACCCAGGTTCAAGTCTCAGCACCCACACAGTGACTCACAACCATCTATGGAAGTGGAGTCACAGGGGATCTGACACCCTCTTCTGGCCTCCAAGAGCACCATGCATGCTTGCACTACAGATACATACATGTAAGCAAAACATGCATACACACAAAATAAAAATAAATAACTTTTTAAAATTAAGGTATAACTAAACATAGATTTTCCTCCTTTGAGCTGTACTCTTCCCAAGGGATTTGCTCACATATGCAGAATTTGATCAATGTCATTAGTTATGCCACAATGTCACAAGTTACTTCTTCATTGAACATACTGGCTTGAAAATTAATTAATTAATATCTCTTTCATTTCCCCTTCATACTATTGAGGGCTGATATTTCCAAGTAAATACTAAACATAGTGAATACAAACATTAACCAGGAATGTTAATACTAAAAGTACTGCAAAAACACAGTGAGTACTTATAAGTCTAAGAAACCTTGGATAGAATTTCTGAAGTCCAAGCTTTGCATCCCCCGCACTCCAAACATGATACCCCTAACAACTAGAAAGACTGGTCCTTCTTAACAGAACCTTGTGGCTTGCTGTCATCCAAACCATGGTCAGTCTATGAGAAACCAGGTCTTTAATGTATTATCTGTGTCTCATAGATAGGTTCTGGCAAGCCCTTCCACAGACTGTGGTGTTCTGGGGCTGACAGATTTGCAGTATCTTCAACTGTTTGACAGACAGGAACAACTGAAATTCTCTTATCTGTGACTCAGCTTAGTGAGAGAAGGAAAAGATTGATGTCCCCCCACACAAATGCCCAAGGAAAAAGTCTCATCTATCTAGCAATATATGAGGATCCAATTCATTCATAACAAAACGTTTTTGTGTTATTCCACCTTCCCAACATGCACAGAGCATATTGATCTGTTTCAAGGAAGAGAATGCAGAACATAAGGAGACATGAAGCATCATTGGATCAAGAGGAGAATATCCCACAAGATACAGCACCACATTCCTCTAGTGAGCCCATGGCCTTCTCCTGCAAATCAATCCTACTTCTGAAAATGCCTATCATCTCTCAATAATACCCTTAAATTAATTAATTTGAATTAATCAATTTGTTAATTAGTTAATTAGGTGACAGCTTTCAGGATCCAATCACTTCTCAATCGTTGGAATTCATTGGCCATTCAAAAGTATAGAGCTTCTCCTGAGTGCAATAGAATAGCTTACATCAAACCAGGGAGCTAGGTGTGGGGAATGCACATCTGGACTGAATTTTAATTACCTACACTCGTCTGGGCCTTACAAAGCCCTGTGAGAGGGAATCACAGGAAGGTGAGGCAGAATACTTTTTAACCATGGCAGGAAGCAGAAGGAAAGCTCTGGGCTTCCGCTGTGGAGGACGCTGGCTGGGGATAAAGAAATGAAAAGCAGGTTTCGGATGCTTTGGAGTGGTCTTCATGAACAAATTGAGTGACTTTTGACAGTAGTGTCTGGATACAAAATACCTACACAGAAAGTCTATGAAGAAGAGTGGGTCTGTGAGGAGACGGTGATGGAAGGAAGGAAGCTGGAAACCTGTGTGGAGGTGGGAGGGGGAGAAGGACTGGGGACTTTACCAGACAGAGTTATGCTGTGGGATGTTCTGTATGTCCTGTGGGAGCCCTTCTTGGGTTCTTTGTGGCATTACCCAGCAGGTCCGTATAGAGGATGATTAGGACCATGGGCCTGAGTGCAGGTGTCTGAGATGGTCTGCACTTGGCTGTGCTGGGGGATGGTCTGTATGTCAAGTTG